CTCTAGTAATATATTTACTGAGAAAAATGTTGACGTGTTCAATACTTATTTTACCTGCTGTATGTAGCTATTTGACCTGACAGAGATCCGATTCCAGGCAATATCTTTAAAAAAACAGGTCCAGTGTGATCAGTTACAGTTCAGAGTTTTATGTTGGGAATGACTTCCAGCTACTATCACCAACAATCAATAGCTGTAAAACCGACAAGTTATCAATTTTTTTGTGTTTGCTTACTTTACTTCTTGTTGTTGCTATCTTAAATTGGCCACAGCAGCTAAATTAACTTCAAAAGTTATTCTCGTGTCATCCAATTATCCATCTAATGATTACTACCCTGTCCTTAAACAAGATTATTCATCTAAAAAATCCAAATTATGAGACTGGTAGACTGTTTACGTCCTAAAAAAGTTGTATCTGAAGTTTTCCTCGGCTCCAACAGCAAAATGTCATCTTCACCTGACCAAGTGGAACTATCCCCTGATAAACTAGGCCACCGTTGTTATTATAACAAAGACAAACTGGGGAAAAAATATACAGCCACTAACAAGACAGCAATTACTCACAGGGCTTTCTAACACGTGATGAGAGTTCAAGTCCCACACGGGGACCATTATCTTTTCCACTTTGTTTAGTTTATTTTTGGACTTAAATGTGTTATACGCAACTTTAGCAAACCACTCAGCATTACACCAGAGCAGCAGAATTTTAATGCAGCTCAAACAAAATTCAAAACTGAAAGTGAAATCCGAGTTGAAGTTTGTTGCATGGCCACTGAAAATATCCAAAAAACAAACAAAATAATAAAAATCTGAATGTTACTCTGGTCTGGAACATTGCAGGTTCAAATCCTCACAGCGCTCATACATCATGGTGTCCTAACTTCTCCCTGCTGCTTAACTTGGGTTTATCTCTTGTGCGATGGGTAAACACAAATTTTACATCCATATTGTAAAAATGCTGAGATCTGGACATGTAGCTCTGATTAAAAGATAAGTCAAATTGCTCATTTAAAACATAAAATTAAAATGTCCTTTGTCATAATCATCAACTTTATTAAAGACACAAAATAGGTCCATAGAAAAGTATAAGAAAAAGAAAGAAGAAAAGAAGAATTTTGAAGAAAAGTTGTGATTTCAATCCCTAATTTTTATTAATTAGCATGTTCTGTAATTATTCCAAACTGATTCATCTTTAATATTCTGCACTTTACCAGGACTGAGATCACATTGTTTTTGATTATTAACTATTTCCCAGCCTGCACAAATATGTCAAGAGAAGAG